CAAACCATTCTGTGATTCTATTCATAGGGAACCTGTCAGGCTGGAGAAATGGGCCAACAGGAACCTTGTGAACTCATCGCTGGAAAATGCCAAGTCCTGCATCCTGTAAGGAATAATGCCATGCAGCAGCACCGTCTGTCAGCTGTCAGGCTAGAAGGCAGCTTGGCAGGAAAGGACCTGGAGGTCCTGGTGGACACCAGGTTGAACGTGAGTCAGCAGATGTGCTCTTGCAGCAAAGGCAGCAGACGTCGTCCTGGGCTGCACTAGGAAGAGCCCTGCAGCTGTTTGAGGGAAGCAACCCCCCTCTTCTGCTCAGCACTGAGAGAGCACACCTGGAGTGTCTTGTGCGGTTCTGGGATCCCTGGTGTGAGACAGCCATGGACATACAAGATTGTGTCCAGCAAAGGGCCACAAAGGTCATTGAGGCTTGGAGCATCTGTGATACGGGAAGCACGCTGGGATTGTTAGCCTTGAGACAGCTCAGGGGATCTTACTAATTAATGTGTTTAAGTATCATGCAAAGCAGGGGCAAGGCAAGCCAGACTGTTCTGAAATTGGAATCTGTCATGGAACTGAAATTCCATTTAAATTAAGAAATTTTTTTTACTGTGAGTGTGGTTGAATGCGGAACAGGCTGCACAGAGAAGCTGTGGAGTCTGTTCTTGGAGCTGCTCAGAAGGCACTGACAGTAGCCCTGCTCTCGCTGACCCTCCTCTGCGGTCTCTTCCAGTCTCAGCTGGGGTTTGCTCCTGTGGAACATGTCCCTGTGTGAATGGTAGAGCTTAGAGTCAGGGCGGCCTCTGGGGTCATGGCTGGCAGCGTAACCAAAATCCGTACATGTTCAGCTGGGAAGGGAATGTGGCTGCAGCCTGTTAGAAACAGAATGCTCTGCCTCTCGAGTCTCACATGAAACCCAAAAGCAAGAAAACAATGAGAAGAAAGTGAAAAGTGATCTGAATATATTCAGTGAATATATTTTACTGATAGTTATGAACAAGGGTCAAATACTTCAGCTGCTTGTACTGCTTAAAGGGTTTGGCTGCTTGCAGATGTATTTCCTCTCCTTTGGTGACGAGGAAAAGGTAGAAGAAAGACTTTGCCATGTAGAAGATTTGGGAAAATGAATGTTGCTGCAGGAGTTGCCCAACATTGGTTCATACCGTGGTGTCAGGTGATGCTTGCAGTGAGAAGTAACGTAGACATTGCATTGCTTCCCTGTGTCTAAGAATGTTATTTGTGTGTTGAAAATTGCTAATTAATGAAACATCCAAGTCTGATCTCAATGAGCAAATGTCATCGCTTATTTTGGGATGGGAAGGGATTGCAGTTTCAAACGTCAGGGCAGATGTCATACAGGTTAAAACCGAGGTGACTTCAAGATGTGTTGTCTGGGTTGCATGTGAGCGTGAGCCATGTAAATCAGTCCTTCCATCCACCCACGAACGTTTTTGTGTCTGTACCCTGGTACCCAAGGCCAGCGGCAACAACTGCCAGCCCAGCGATTTGACTGATGTATTAGCGTGTGAGGAGGGGAGTGATGGGTTTAGCTGAATGGACACCTGTGAACGGGCCGTCAGAGCTGTGGAATTGGCCGTTTGCACTGTGTGCCCCGTGCCCAGCGGCACCTGTGTCCTGAGTGTACCGCTGCTCTCGCAGAAGCTGCTGCTGCTGCGCTCTCAGCTGAATTTTGCTTTCTCTGAGGATTTTAGAGTATTGGATGAGCCTGAGCAATTCCTGGCGCAGATGCCAGTTCTCTGCTCTCAGCTGTTCGATGTGCTGAATCAGAGACTGCATGGCTGCGGCTTCTGCTCTCCTGGTGAAACTCCGGATCTTCTGCTGCGAGTCCCTCTTACAGTCAGCCTGGGCTTGCAGGAATCTGCTCTTGATTTTGTGCATTTCATCTGAGTGCTGTATCCTTGTGACCAGCAATTCCTGCTCCAGCTCTTGAATCCTTTTCGTGTGTTCCAGCTGAACAGAGGGGCCTTGGAAAGCCTGCAGCTCTTCAACCTCTTTGGTCAGAAGAGAGTACTTGGTCTCCTTATTTGTCAGAGGGGTCCTTACCGCCTTCTCTTTTTCTTTGTACTGTGACATCAGCTCCTCTTTCTGCAGCCGGATGTGGGACAGATCGGTGTGATTCTGGTCATTTAATGTTATTATCAGGTTCTGGCGGTTCTGACTGCGTTTCGTTATGTAAGAGAGGTAAGCATGGCTCTCTTCCTGAATCCGTTGGGCTTCCTTTTCTAGGAACTTATTTTCCTGCAGGAAATGCTCCACTCTTCCCATGTATGTGTTCAGATGTTCAGTGAGAATCTTGTATTCCTTCTGCAGGTATGATTTCCTCTCCTTGACAGGTATTTCCATGTCACTTACTCCTTTGGATATCTCTCCACTCTTGGTTCTTACTGCCTCCTTGCTTTCCTCAGCACGCTCGGGGTCTTGTTTCGTCTGCCTTGTCTTGGATGCCATATTCCACACTGGGCGTCGTGAACTCTGGCAAGCTGTAACAGAAGGGGGAATGACCAATTCCAAGCAAGCACGTGGATGGCTGCTGCTGTCCTCCCCAGTCATGCCCTCTGTCTCGTTAAGTGTTCAACTGGTTGTTCTGGCAGCTAAGATGCAGCTAATCCCTTCCAACCAAAGCCATCCTATGCTTCTGTGATATCAGGGAAATTCCTACCTGGAGAGGGCTGTCAGGCGTTGGAACCGGCTGCCCAGGGAAGTGGTGGAGTCACCATCCCCACAGGGGTTTAGAAGGTGTGAAAATGAAGTGCTCAGGGACATGGGTTAGTGGTGGGCTGGGCAGTGCTGGGTTAACGCTTGGCCTCGGTGATCTCAAAGGCCTTTCCCAACCTAAACAATTCCACAATTCTATGAAAATAGCCTGGCTCTGTCTGCTTTGCACCCTCCCCTCAGGTACTGATATACATTAATAAGATCCCCCCTTGCCTCCTCTTCTCCAGGCTAAACAGCCCCAGCTCTCTCAGCCGTTCCTTAGGTGAGGGATTCCCCAATCTCTCGATCGTCATTGTGGCCCTTCGTCGGACTCTGTCTAGGTGCTACATGTCATCCTTGTCCTGGGGAGCCCAGGACACAGCACACTGCAGGTATGGCCTCACTGGTGCTGAGTGGGTGCTCAGCACATGGGCACTTACCTGCTTCCAGTTACCCTGTCGTCCCTCCTCACCCCCGGGCATTATGCATCCCCTTTGGAGTTGTCTGATCTCTTAAACAGCTGTAAACTGGGAGAGGAAGGAGGGACATGAACCCCATAGCAAAGACACTCCCCACCCCCACAGCATCACATATAAACCTCCACTTTACATCTGAAAATTGAACATTTAGGGAAGGGACACCCCTGCGGGATCCTGGGAGAGGTCACTGGTCCCAGAGAACAGGAATAAAGACATTGAAATATCTTGGAGATAGTCAGAAGCCACCTGGCCACGATCCTGGACCAGCTGCTCTGGGTGGGCCTGCTCAAGCAGGGTGTGGGGACCAGATGGCCTCCGGAGGCCCCTTCCAACCGCAGCCACCTGACTCGGAGATTCTGTGAAAGGGTGACAGTGGTGCCCTGGACCCTTGTCTCATGCGCAGGCATCGCAGCAGCCAAGGGACAGAGGCTGGTTCTGGCTGTTCTGCCAGCAATGATGAGGGTAACGTGGAGGGGAGCGCCAAAGCGCGGTGAGGTGCCTCTGACCAGTGAGACAGGCGGGGGCTGCCAGGCTCTGGGGTGGGTACCACGCACACGCAGACGGGACCTCTGTGCTAGTTCTTTGATGCACACCCAGGGTTCCGTGGCCAGAGAACAGCGTCTCAGATAAGAGAGAGGGTGAAAAGCACGTGTGGTGCAAATACCGGGAAGACTCGTCACATTGCTGGTAAAATCTGCTACAGTGAGATGCAAAGGAGGAGGAGCAGAGGATTGTTTTCCAGAGGGGTCACACACTACTGAATAAGCAACGATGAAGTGCAGCAACAAGCTCGGCGCTGTTCATGTCTGAAATTCGTGCCTTTTCCTCTACCTTCTGAATGCTGGTTTGGCTGGTCGTCTTGTCCGTGTGGCACAGGTTCACACTGGCAAGTAGAGCTAAACACTTCCTGAATGTGAGAAATATGCCAGAAGACACGTTTTGTAGCACTGGGAGATGCCAAGCGGAGGTGATGGAATAGCGGTCAGTGCCCCAAGAGCACTTTTGAAAATCCACCTTCTGCATATATGAATTATTGAAAGTTGACACACCACAGGAGGAGGATGTCTAGCCATTAAACACAAAGTTTGCAACGTGAATGAGGCAGGGAATTGTTGAAATGACAGTAAGTGGCAATATGATTATCTGACTGTATATCCAGAGAGTGCGAGCGCTGTGCCTGCCACCCTGCACTAAGAATTTGCTGGATTTAAGCATTCATTACAGGAGGGCATTCAGGCTTTTTTTAACGTGCAACACTGCCTTTAAAAGCACCAAAATTCACCTGCGATGTGAGAGGTGCAGTTAAGGCCACAACATACTAAAGGAAGGAAAATGCATCAGTATTCAGGATTCTTGGAGACATAAGTGGAAAAGAGAGGAGTGCATGGAGTTTGTGTGCCGAATTTCTAAACTGCTTATTCCAAAGAGGAACAGTGCAATCAAGGATTTAGAACTGGAGAGTTCTGATAAGCCTAATGGTTTAATGAACATCTGTAACTAAAAGTTACTGTATCCTAATACACCTAGTGGCCCTTTTTAAAGAAAATAAGCAAAATTCAAGTAGATTGGTGAAGAAAATAGAATAAATGTGCTAAACCTGCCTGTCCTGGTAACAGCAGAGCAGGTTTCAGGCTGGGAATGTGGCACCAGGCTGGGTGTAGGGAGACACAAGAATCCGTACAGAAATCAGTGCAGCTGCGCTCTGTGAGACGGGCTTGGGGACCAAGGAGGGTGTTGTGACAAGCAGTGGAACTGCCTTATTGCCAGTGGTGGAGTCTGGGGAACGGCAATCGTAGGGGTGCATGAATGTTAGAGGAATTAATCTGCGTGGCCAAACCTGGCCTTGCTAACGTTGGTATGATAAAAATGTGGGTTTATTTTGATTTTTCCAAAAAGCACTGACCTTTCCTGCTCCTGTGGTCTTCCCAGGTTTTCCAAACAGCTGCTTCTGGCTTGCTGTGCCTGGTTTACTGGCGCGTTTGCTGGAGGCCAAGGGTGCGTGCTGAACGGTGGTGGTGGCTGTGAGCTCTGCGTGTCCATGGTGATGAAACGTGGGACGTCACAAGAGCAGCTCTGCAGTGACTCTCAGAGCCCTTTCGGTTCCCAGTTCCCAGCTCGGTGGTGACACCTGATGGTGCCTCTGGCAGCAGTTCAGCAGAAACTGAAGGGCTGGGGATAGGGCTACTCTTTACTGTGGGTCCAGGGCCC